CCAAGACCCAGTACCCAAAACTGGGAAACCTGAAGTTTAGGTATTGTGGAATTCAGATCTTATGCTCTCAAGTTAATCAGTAACATTTCAGGTTTGAAGACTATTCAAATCCTAAGGAGGTGAATTTGGAAGCTACCTTGATATTTAAGTTAGCACTCTGGTTTCTGTTCCCACTCTCATTGCTTTTCCCACTTAGACCTAAAGTAAGATACTACAAAAGACAAAAGGTGAGTTATTCCCCATAGAAAGAGAAGCCTTTAATATGCATGTTCATAATAGGCTCAGATGTTTTTGCTGAGAAACACCTTGTAGGTCAACTTCATTTGTGGCAGTAAACTTGTTTCACAAAGCAGCTGAATGGAATTTTCATGGTTACTTTTACCCAGAAGAGCGAGACAGAACTGGGTAAGACTGTTAGAGGAAAACTGGCACACATTCCAAAGACAGAACTTTACTATGATGAAATACGTTTGTAATTAAGAGAGCCTGATTACCTGTATGATGCTAACAATGCAGTTCTTAGAGGCAGGGCTTTTTTTTTTTTTGCAAAGAAAACTTGGTTTAATTATGCATATTTATGAAACAACTACAACAAAAAAGTTGTGTGTTTTATTTATGATATGATTAGGAAATTTAATGTAAGGTTGTGTTGACATTAAGGTGTAGATAATTAAAGATCAAAATTAAATATTCAGGTTTTCCACAAAAGCTTATGCTACTTTGCAAAGAAAAAGAAATCAACTATTTTGTTTGGTATATAGATTGAGATGTTCAAGGAATTGCCACAGAAAAACAAGTCAGATAGGATGATATGATAAGTAGGAAAAAAAAAGAGTAATCCAATAACTACAGCCATCAAGTGAGACTTTATTTAAAGAAAACTCAAATGCATGGCTTATTATATGATTCACCTTCTGAGCTGGTCTTTGAATCTCCAGGCTCTTAATGATTTTGAAAAGAATACATTAGTTGGTCAGCATAATGCTATATTAGCCTTATAAAGGTATATTCATTTGATTAGTTCTAAATTCTGTTGCCAAAAGTCTTTATTTGCTGGCATCAACTCAGAACATTCTCATTCTCTTAATTAGAACAATATTTTTTCATCATAGCATGAGCCTTGCTGAATTAGCTCCAGGAGTTCTGTTTGTTTGCTTTCTCTTCAGTCTGAAGTTTTCTGTTTGTCCTTTTAGTCACAATCAGCTCAAGGAAAATCTCATGCAATAGTTTCACGAGTGTGAGTTCCGCTTTCTCATTTTTTGCCAAAGTATCTTTTACTAACTGATATAATATAAGGACTTGCATCACACAGTGGCCACTGCCACCCTTACATTGTCCTCTGTTAATGTGGCACTACGCAAATAAGAACTGTAATGCCGGAGTTGTTCTACAGACCAAGCTTTTTTCATAGCTGATGTTGTTCTTTGCTGACCTGAGAAGCATTTGAGTTGTGAGGGAGATCTCACCCAGAGCTGGGGCCACAAAAAGAACTTGTGAAGGTACTTGCTGTCTTAGATCTGACAGTCGTTCTAGTTGCACTATTAAAGGATTACAGTCTGAGAAGGTGCATATCATCAAGGATCATCCCACTGTTAATCACAGTAATACGGCCACAGATATGAACAGAACTTATTAGCAACTGCTTCTCATGCTAGTGAAACATCTGTGCCCTCCCATATCAGTGTTCTTCCACGGGCAGCATACATCTTGGAGACAAAACTAGTTTGTATGACTGTACACAGTTTGTATGCATAGTACTACCCATAACATCTAGAAAATGCTGCTTTTATTCCTTTTTATTAGAACTGATCTTTGGATATATATGTATATTTTGCTCTGTGTTGAAGATTTAAACTTGTTGATTTTCATCAAAATTAATACTGTTTGCCTGCGATGGAAAAAAATGAGGAAGGCAATTACAGAAATACCACTACCTCAAAAGTGACAGAATCATGGCAAAACACAGCTGGAATACACCAAGTCCAGATTGGAATAACACAACATAAAGAATAATAAACCACTAGAGGTGACCCATTCCTCTGTAAAAACTGCTTCTGCTTTGAAGTTCAGTGAGTAAACAGCATGCTCATTATGAACAGAGCTGCACTGGCACGAACATCTGCACTGAGATGGAGACGTGTGTCACAAACTTTTGCTCAGGTTCCTTGCAGATGTGCAAATATAACCAAGTTGTGCATATGTACGTATCTGAACAGCTCCAAGAGAAACAGCGGAGTTGCCCTGGCTGTCTTCTGTGCCAAAGGACAGATGATTGTGTTTACAAAACAACTTCTTGTGTAACTGAAGTTAAGTAACAGCAGTTCTACAGCCACAAATGCAGGAATTCCATGTCAAGCTGGCACTAAAACCACAACTTTCAGCAGGTTGGTGTTGATATATCAGCTGCAACCACCTAGTTAGTAATCTCTGTTACCGACAGAGTTTGACTAGGGAGCTATTTTAATCCTGAATATGTACTGGCATGTGAGCCTGTGATATCAGAGAAGTTTAACAAAACCCAGCATTTAGATTTAACCTTAAAATATTCCTTTCTAAGATGTCTGATAAAACATTTTGGTCCCAGTTATGTACTAGATCTCTCATGGGGAGTTAATGACTCCAATGAAAATAAAGGAAGAAAACCATATTATGGAATGTTTGTCTTCTGCACTGTACAATAAATGCTTTAAATAATTATTCTCTCTGTTTGTATTCACATAGCAAGGAGTAAAGATTTTTAACATCAGAGTGTCTTACATTTCCCGCTAAATGGCAACCACAGCATTTACCAATATTGTTTTAATAACATACTAATGCTGAAGGAACAAGAGCTGCACAGGGAAAGCTGAAACTGAAAGTTCAATCACCTTGTAATAAGTCACACTCATTAACGTGGTGGGAAGTGATATCACCAACATAAACCATGATTTTTTTTTCCTTAAACCTTTTTGACTGAAAGTGCTGCGTCCCTCCACACACCTCTCCACTGCATTCCTCTCCCACCCAAAGAAAAGAGGAGGAAAAGAGGAAAAAAGAAACCTGGGGCATGTGATAATCTGGAGAGCCCTGGGAGCCCTCCCAGCACTGCTGCACCATGAGATCGCAGCTCCTCCCTTCCTCGCTGCTGTGGGAGAGCTGTCCTGGGGAGAATCCTCTCAGCTGCTGAGCACAGGCTGCGCACAGTTACCTGCTGTATATCTGTGCTCTTATTGACGTGCAAGTACTTTAAAGGGACATTATTTTATCTGCAGGTTACTCAGGAGCAATCCACTGCGGCTGTTTGTTTTCTGAGCGCTGGATCAGCGACTGGGTTTGCATGCAAGGTGCCCAGTGCTACCTCTGGTCTGTGGTGGGAGCAGTGTGACTTCTCAGATCAGGTTTCCAGAGGATCATACGAATATGTTTAGAAATTGTTTCTGCAAATAATCTCTGATGTCTGGTTGCAATTTGCTGTTTCCACAAAAATTCCTGGCAGTGAGCATGTTTGCTTGGATTCTCACAATTGTTTTGGTAAGCATATTCTCTCCCTTGACAGGCCCCTCTTGGCAAATATTTCAAATTCCTGTCCTTCTCTTTTTACAGTTTAATGCTTTCCTGATTTTTAGCCGCAACTTTCTATTATTTCTAAGGGTGGCTCTACTTGTCAGTACGTGATGCGGAATTCCTGGGGTTTACACAGAATTCTACTTTCAGGTTACAGAGGATTTTCTGGCTAACAGGAGGGAGGGAAAGAATCTTTGCAAAACAAAGCAACATTTCAAAAACTCAGTGAAAATAAGCAGAAGCCACACTGTGCATAGCTGAGTGGGAAACTACATTTTTGAATGGACTAAAGTTAAAAACTCTCAAAACTGCTTTGTTAAAATTCCAAATTGAGGTTACAAACCAAAGATGTATATTTTGGTGATGCTGAAGATTTGTAATTAATTTTGGTGACACAAGTTAATTTGTGCCGTATGAGATACATATCGTGCAACTTCCTGAATTAAATAAAGTTCCTTTCATCCCTCAACTCTGGAGTTCCATCTACTCAGTTCATGGCAAGGAGTTACCACCAGAATATTCAGAAGTTCAGTCATACTGCTGTGGAACCAGCTGGCTAAACAGTCACAAGGCCAACCTGCTGGACTTCCAAATACAGAACCTTTATAGAAAGGGTCAACAGAAAGAAGCAAAACAAAAACAGAACAAGCTGGCTCAACCCAAGAGTTTGGTGCAAATGCCATGAAATGTACCAGCAAGGAAGGGTAAATGCCATAGAAGGAATCAGGCCATTATAGGCTGATAAGGGCACCTGAAGAGATAAGACCAAGAGCCACTAAATAGGTGGGGGAAGGGGAATCGCTAATGGGCAGAAGAAAAGCCATCCTGGGCAGGGGAACACACATGGAAACAGGTCGTGTGGTCACTTCTCCATCAGCTGCATCTTCTGTGTTTGCAGTGCTTCGCTGATCGAGTAAGTGTCAGGGGCTGAAGGTAAGTTCAAATTTGGGAGACATATATATAATATATATAATATAATATATATAATTTTTAAAAATGCAATTATGTTTTGGTAAAAATAAAGGCAATGACGCTGCTGTGGCTCTTATGGAAGGGATTTCCCGGTTATTTTACTAGCTGTGCTGTGCATCTTTGAGAAAATCAGTAGAATGGCTTAATGCTGCAGTTTCCCCTCCTTGACAGGTACACAGTAATATTAATCCCTCAGTGCAGTGTGATTTAAAGCAGTATTTTTATAAAGGTCATGTTCCTTTAAACAAATACAATCTGTTGTTTTGATGAATAGCTCTTAGCTTTCCTTCAAAGACTTGTGTCCGAAATCTGTTATATTGTTCTTAAACATTTGAATTGGGAACAATTGGTCTGGCTTTGATTCTTCTTTGAATGCGCAGATTGCTAAAAGCTGTAATCTCTTTAATCTGCTTGCTGAGGCACATTAGCTTGTTTCCACTTGTTCCTAGCTGGCTGGTGTTAGGACCCAGAAAAGAGACAGCAGCAACGTGATATAAATAGAGTACCAGAATGGGACAAAGTTTGAGAAGAAAGCATGACATCACTCAGACTTGCTCTCCACCCAAAAAGATCTGGGATGGAGGTGCAAACGTGAGCTGGACAAGAGAGGAGTTAGCAAGTCTTTTCAGTTCATTTCCCAGGGAGAGAGTGAGAGCTCTATGCTTTATGCGCTATAAGGAAGTACATTTTCTTGCTAGCAAAACCAAAACTGGCTTCGGATCTCTGACAACGTGAAAGTAATTGAAAGGAAAAGACAACCATAGGAAGAAAGTTGAAAACAAGATATTTTCTTTTTGGCACAGATTCTAGCAGAAATATTTGACTTCTTTCCACGGAACGGTACAACTTTCGGATCCGATGCACACTGCTTCTAATTCTTCCGCAATCACAGTAATTTATTTATGGTTAAATGAAGAGATCAAAGTGTGAAGAAAGCAAATACTACTTAAAGGGTCGGAAGGATATTTTGCCATCACTGAAGGAACAGACTTCTTGAACCTACAAGGAAAATGTCCCTTTTAATACAAAAAGTAGCTAAGGAAAACTTATGATTGAAAACCCGCAGGAATTTGATCTCGGTTGTACTTCTAACCTTAAATAGATGATGAAGAATTTATTATCTCTGCTTTGCTGTCATTATTCTTTGCTGATTTTATTGCAGTTCAAAAATCAGGTAATGTTCTGAATACGGTCGGCACTGACGTATATTTGGATCCCTCTTAGCAAGTTTTGCCTCACCATGTCTCATTATAAAATGTTTTATGTGCAGGTGTACGGAAACTATTCCCAGCTACTCGAACACCCAGGTAAGGAATGTTTTACTTATACTTTATGACACCATGCTTTTATATAAGTATGCATACTGTATCTTGTTTTCTTGCTTTGTATTTTTCATTGGTTTAGTAGCTCCAAGAATCAGTGACCCCACATTTGAATGTCAGCTCTTTAGTAAAAATACAATAGACTGAATTATTGAAGTATCAGACCATCCTAGGCAGTAAAAATTCGGTAGCCTATCTGCTAAACATCTGCACAGAAGTATGTCTGAAGAAAAATGGCTTGTATTCGATAGGGAATTTCTCTATACAGTGCTTATTATTATGTTTTAGAGCATATTTTCTGAACTAGATTTCTACACAGGTCGTTTTTTTTTTCTCTCTCTCTCTTCTTGTGTTCAGTGTTTTAATTCTTTGATCTACAGTTAGACGTGCTGGTTTGTGTACTTTGCCACAGCATCAAGTGATCTACCCTCCTCCTAGCCATCATGCTTCAGTTAAAATCAGTTGTAGAGTGTTTTAAAGATCTCTCATCTGTTTTCAATGCAGAAAATCTCACTCAAAGCTTATTTGGGGTCTGTGTGTGTAACTGCTGAATCCTTCTGTTTATATAAATAGTTTAACCTCAAGCCTCATGGTGGTGTACAAGTACAATTTTACTGCTTTGCAATTCATGCATTGCTTTGTGCTGTTAAGTTTCCACAATATATAATTACGCTCAAAATAAAATACAGTGTGATGTGGAGTTATGTTGTCTGCTATTGCAGTAACTTCAGACCAGTTACGTGTTCTACCTTCATTCAGACTAAGAAATGCCATCTCTTTTCCTATCAGTAAGGATGACAGGCTTCTGGCCAATAGAACCAGTAAGGGGGTAACGGTCTTCCTCACTGGGGGGGCAAGCTATATGAGATTTGTCTGTAGCACAAATCTATGGGGATATGTAGGTGGGAATGATGCTGTCTGAATTTGTAGAGACTGTAAACAATTCAGAAGTGCTTTTGTTCTAAACGCACAGTAATTATCTACTGAAAGAACTATACACGTATAAGCTGAATTCAAAGCAATAGGTATTTGTTTTGAGAAGTTTTCTTGGGGCTGTAAGAGGGATAGCAGCATGGCTTTATATAGTTCAGAACTGGCAGCTAGGAAAGCCACCGACGAACCGCATGGCTCTCAGAGATTCATTTCTTTGTTGCATCTCTGGTTGCTTTCCCATTTTCTTTGCCCGTTTTTCCCAGCTTCAAAATGTAAGGCTCTTAGAAGCTTCTCCTTAGGAATCTGTTTGATACCAACTGCACTACAGCCATTAATAAAATACTCATGCCATATCATGATACATTTCTGGCATCAATTCATCTCCTTCCCAGAGATTTTTCTTGTTTGTCTGTTTTCCTCTCTTTTGCTATATTTTTCTAAGACTTCTATTAATTTTAATCTTTTTTTCCCCCCTGATATAAAGAGTAAATGTTAATGAAAGGAAGAGTTATTTGCAGATAAGCACACTGTGAAACAGCAGGCATGTTCTGTGCTCTGCAAAATAGATATTTTGAGGATGGTATGGAGGTTCTTCAGCACAGGTTACCTATGTGGCTTCTCTTAATATCACAGAAATTCATCACTCTAATGTCAGCAGCAGCTAGAATGTACTCTTTGAAGACAGAACTGAACATGTACCCAGATATGGCTTATGTAAATGAAAGCAGGTTCCTACACCCTCCTCCCTCAGCATGCCTTTCTACACAAGCTTAGTTGAGTTGGACTGCTTGGAATTCTCAGATTTGGCTTTGTGCATGCTTATTCTGTGTCATTATTCTCCTACCTTGCCAGTAGTTTTCTCCTTTTGTTAGCAACTATGCTTTTCTTTGTCTTTTTCAAGTATCCAAAGGAAATGTGATCACAGAACCCCTAAATGCATCCCTATCTCATCTATTTACACTCATGTTCCCTCTATGTGGGAAAATCTCTGTCAACAGCAAACACTCCCAGTTAGATAGGCCAATTGTAGTTCCTGGTCAATTAGGAACGGTTTGTTAGGTATCTTTGGTACTATTCCATTTGGAAGAGAAGCAAAGAAGTTCATTCATTCTCACAAAATCAAAGCTTGATATTGTTTTGTGCTTTCAGATCTATGAGTGTTTATTGTGACGTTTAAGAATTTTGTCAGTTTTATACTTCCATTCGGTCTTAGGTTCCTCTCCTAAACCCTGAAACTATACTCTGCTCTGAAACTATACTATGAGGATGAGAATCATCACAAGAGTTCATCGCTCCATGGTTTGACTAGAAAGCTTAAGGCCAAATAAAATTTTTGTCCCTGCAATTCCATTATAATGAAACCTAATTTGTATCCAGAATAATAAAATGGTAGAATAATTGTCAAATGGGCAAGCTGTTCAAATCTCTCTTCAGAGTAAAGAAAGTCTCTAAGTGGCAAAGGACACTATTTGTGATTTGTTTTACTTTGCACACAGTTTTGGGAGCTTTTGCATGGTGTCCAACAGTTACAGTGGTATTTAAGAAGCTTTTTTTTGTTTCTGAGACTCTTGAAAGCTTGCTTGGTAAAAAAAAAACCAAAAACAAACAAACTGGTTGAAGGGCAAAGAACTACACGTTCAGTATAACTTTATAAGTAAGTTTGTTTCACTTTTCTTGGAGACCCCAGAAGTTCTTTACTCCTACACTTGACGATGCGCTTGCTCTTCATTTTTCTTAATAAGATTATTCACTGGTAAGAGTTTTGGGGAGTTAAAGTTGCACTTTGTTAGATCAATTCAAACTCAATATTAAATATCCATCAGAAGAACAAAGATGTGAAAGGCAGAGGGGTTTTCTTGAAGCTAGCTAGTTATCTTTTTTTCTTCTTCATGCATCGTCCAGGGGATGGATGGGGCTGTATCTCAATGGCATTTTATGAAAAGTATTAAAAAACAGTCAGGGAGTTCAAGGAGGTGAGGGAGACTGTGTTTTTGAAACAAATCTGTGGAACTTCATTGTATGAATATAGATGAGGAGGGGAGAAGGAAAGAGAATGCTTGATGCTTTCAGTACGTTTTAATTTGATGGTAGGGATATTAAGGGAGAACCAGAAAGCACCCAATAATCACTTTGATTGAAATCTGAATAAAAAATGCCGATTTTAAGTACTTACTTCGTTCTCCCCCAAAAAAGAAAAGATTAACTCAAATTAACAGGATGCCGTGCCATGATTTTGTATTCACAGTAAAATTTCCATGTATCTGTATCAACCCTCTAAAACTTCCCTGCATACAGGAGATGATCAATTTCTCCTAGGACAGCTTGTTAAATTATTTTCAGAATAAAGGATTTCTTGCAGCTAAAAAAATAAAAATCCATGTTTTCCTACATTTCCTAATGCTACACCTTTAGAATAGACATCACATGAACACAAAATCTGATTGCATTGGACTGCCTGCTTCTGCTCAGGTTAGAGTAACCACAATTCCTAAAAACTGCTCTAACTCGTATCGATTAGGCTCTACTGCTAAATCTGTCAGAGGAAACCAGCAGATGGTTTTTTTGCAGCATATCTGGTGTTAAGGAGGACGTTTAGGGAAACAAAGGCCACAAGCATCCTCCCCACCATGTAGCTGAGCAATCTGGAACAACTTCTCTTAGGGAGGATCAAATTCCTTCTATTAAAGGGCGTAGTTCTGCTATATGCTCAGTCACTGTGTGAATTACCTGGAGACACCAGTGCTCGTTTCTGTGCTAGTGCTCATTTCTGATTACTGTTCCTCAGAAGAGGAAAAAAGTGAAAAGTGCTTGCATTAGTATCATCTGACAGTGTTGCACTGGTTTTTCTGTCAGTTTTGAGAACAGGATAAGAGTCTTTGGAACTCTTCAGCATCTTCTCGATTTCAATTTAAGTGTGGGTATTGGAGTCCTGTATGGAGGAGGCAGAAGCAGAGGAATTGTTCTACAAAGGCAAAACATCCCCCCTCCACATTCCCTTCTTGATGCTTTGTACTGTCCATAGTATGTTTAAAAAGCTGGGTGAAACCCTGCAATTATCAGAACAACTTCTCACCTGGTGCTGACAAATGCTACCTGCAGAAATTTGATCAGAAATGATTACAGATTTTAAGTATAATTAGGAAAAAAACCCAGCAGCTGAATTCTAAAAGCAGAGGTTTTCCACAGCGCTCAGTCAGACATCCAGCTTTAATCTCCCCTGCCATTTTGATTCATGGTCTTGCTTATCAAACATTGCAGATAATATATCTTGTTTTAATTGACCTATTGACCTCCTCTATAGTTCTCCTTTGTAGAAACTCGTTAAAGTACAGTCCAACAAGAGATATAACACCTTTTTCATCTGTTTCCTTGAAAGGGTTCAAAGTTTTTTCATCAGCTTCCCATTACTGGCCGCTGGAAGACGTGGATGGAATTCATGAGTTTCGGGATACGAACGGAGGTAGACAAAGGATTCATTGACAGTGGCAATAACATAAGTATTTGTGCAGTCTGTAAGTAGTGAGCAGGAGAAATGAGAGCAGTTAGCTTTTTTACCGCAGCAGCTGAGATTTCAAGTTAATGTTTCTGCAATGCTTTCATGTTCAAGTGATATTATATGTGAGAGCTGAGTTCTGCAGAGCATTCTCAGGCATTCTGAATATACATTGTTAAGGTTATAAAGTGAATTTTTTCATGATCCAGAGGGTCACTGAAATAACATGGTTATTAGCTGACTTTGTACATGCATAATATGCACTAAATAAGCTCAGCAACTGAGATCTTCGGCTATGCCAGCAGTGAAAATGCTTGGTTCTTTTTAACTTTTCAGAAGTAGTTAAATGCCTAAACCCTACAGGCAATTTCGGAAAAATCACATTTAGTATCCATAGAAAGAGAAGTGCAAGGCTCTTATCTGAATACTTCTTAATCATTTTTATATTTTTTGATACTTCTCTAAAAGCCCTCTTACAGCAAGAGTTGTTCTGTGCTGCCTTTTTTTTTTTTTCCTTCTTCTTTTTCTCCTTCTCAGTTGAGCAAATTCTTGAAAGACTTGCTAAAGCCAAACCCTGACCGATTGGAAAGAGTCAGTTGTCAGAACTGCAAGAACTCATGGGGAATGATATTAGAATGGTTGGTTTCAGCAGTTTTCTGGTTCTGATGTTTTGGAAAGAAGAGATGACTTCCCAGGAATGTCCAAGTGATGTAATTGATGCAGTTTCAGCAGAACCACAATATCCCACTGCTGCATTATGAACCTGTAGGGTCAAATCTTTCGGGAGCAATTTGCTGCTATATTCTGTTTCCTTCTGAGGCTCAGAAGTGCTTTAGTGGTTTCCACAAGAGAACTGTTTTCCCTTGAGACTTTTTAGCCACTTGTAAGTTGGGCTGATACACACATTCCCCAATACTTACCACACTGTGATGACTTCTTTGGCCACTGAGCTACACTTCTGTACCAGTGAAGAGTAGCTGCAGCACTATTACAGGTGACCATAGTATTCTTATGCAGAAATATGACAGCAAGAGATTAAAACAAGAGTTGGAGAACTTTACAATCTTACATGAAAAATGTTACTTAAGTGCAGAGCTAGTGCTATTTGTTATACATAAATGGGAACATAAATCTCTGTTTCTAAGCAAAGAAAAAAAATCTGTAGATATCTTAAACCTCTTATTCCATAATCCTGAAGTATTTTAAACTTAGACTGTTCGACCCATCCTTCCAGGAATTATTTTAAGGAATGAAAATGGCTGACCAGAAATAAATCTGGGCAATATTCTGTTCTCACTAGAGGCTGATAGCAGCATCCCCATGTAATTCTAAAAGGACCAGAATTCAATCTACAGAAAGTTAAGATGCAAGTTCTTCAGAAGTGTGTGAATGTCATTTTCTAAATTGTTTCAACATTCTTATTACAAACATGTTGTTTTCAAAGCAATTGAGGAATATTTAAATCTAGCATGGATTACAGCTGTTGGACAAATTATAATTGCACAGTGTTGGAAAGATTATTTTTTGAAACTTGTTAAATCACATTATTTCAGCAGAAATCAGAAATCTTTTCAATGGTAGCATGAAAGAGTGAATTAGAATATATAAAAGTTCCTGATCCCACAAAGAAGAATAAGACTGGCTTACATGAATAACTGTCTTTGAATCCTATTATGTGTAAAATAACATTACAAGTAGCCAGCTTTATGATCCTGGTGGGAAAAAAAAAAAAAAAAAAAAAAAGGATTTTGAGGACTTTGTCTCACTACGTGGTGGCCAAAAATCTTTTTCCCTGCAGCACAATTCTTTTTCTGCACTGCATACAGGAGAAGTTTTATGTACCTCTCTGATGTTTGACTTTGATACAAGTTTAATTGTCGTAATCTAATGCAGGTAACAATTTGCTAGATTTTGATACCATTCTGATTACACAACTCTATTATGCTAGTCCTGTTTTTTCCACTCATCATAATTTCATGCAAATGTTTTCATTCCATGTTTCTTCTCTTAAATACTTGAAGCATCATAGTCTGTCCGTCATGTTAATCCATTTTATTTGTTGAAGTCATTGTGTGTGAAGCCAGATTTATATCTCTCAATGTATGTGTTGTGAGAGGCAGTGTCAATAAATTATTTTTTCAGTTATCTCAAAAATAAAAGCAGTAAAAGGAATTGAAGGGAAACATCCAACTTGAAAAACATCAAATTGAAAAAAAAAAGTGGTCACGTTCAGGTTTTCATCTCACCCCTTGTTTTCCACTTTTTTTTTTTTTTAGAATTTGCCTTTTTATTTTCCCCTCCTGTGAGCCCAGATGGTCTAAATCCCAAATCAGCACATCTATTTACTTACACAGGCTTTCCATCAAGCTCTGTTTACTCACCCTGGGTAAACAATTAGTGTGAAAGATACTCTCAAAATATCAAAGTGGGGAGGGGAAGAAAAATTATTGTTAGACACCTAAATTAACTTGATAGCTCCCAGAACTACAGCAGGTGGAATGGCTCTAGATACAAACAAGCGTTGGTGCTGTCCTTTCAGACCTGTTGACAGTATGCTGGTCAATGGCTGTGCTGTGTCCCATACGGTTTTTAATTTCTCCAAGGATGGAAACACAACAATTCCTCTTGGCAAGCTACTCAGCACCTGACCCTCGTAATTTTTCATTAAAAGCATTTAGACAAAAAGCATTTGTTTAAATGAAATTTCCTGTGTTTCAACTTGCTCCCATAGCCTCTTATCTGTTCACTAAATACCACTGAGGAGGCTCTGGCATCACCCCTCCCACTGGCTGTTCATGTGCTTTGATAAGACACCTGAGCCTTCTCCTCTCCAGGGAGAGCAACCCCAGTCCCTCACCCTCTCCCTGGTGTGCCAGATGCTCCAATCCCTTCATCACCCTTCTGGCCCTTCATGGGACTTGCTCCAATATATCCATGTATCTCTTGCATTGGGGAAATCCAGAGATGGACAAGTGACTTGAGATACCGTAACTTTTTCACCACATAATGATTTTTGAAATAACAGGAGTTTACTACTGACCTGATTGTATTCAGAGCCCTTCATCCAAGTGCAGTTGTATTGTTGTCTTTTTCCTCTTGTATTCCTGCCAGGAAGAAAAGTGGTCTTAGTGATCCTTAGTGATCTTAGTGATTTAAATCGTGCAGTAAAGGGACACAACATTCACATCCACACAGATTGTTGGTAAGACATTGTTATACGACAGTTTTAAAGGCTACTGCCAACATTAATGATCTCAGCTAAATTGAGAGATATGAACTGGTCAAATCATTACTGATTGTGTTTATTCATTGTTTTTCTTATTTGCTTATTTTTTTGTTGTTTCACCCAGCTCTAAGAATCCACAACTTCACTGTGCTTCCTTCCCATAATTCTACCTTTGTATATACCAATGACTCTGCCTACTCTAACTTCTCTGCAACTGTAGGTGAGGATTTACATTTTTATTGTTGTGCATTTCTCAGGCTTGGAGGGTTCTTGTAACACTGTACTCAAAGTTGAGTTTTGCTCAGTTGGTAAAGATCCATGCTTACACTGACTGAAATTAAACAAACAAAACACTGCTAAAATATTACCAGAATTACTTCATTACTTCAAATTACTAGAAGTGGCATCCGCTTGATAAATAGTCCATGGAAGGATGGACCCCAGTAGCTCTCAAAAGCCTAATATATATTTACTATATTTACTAATAATTTACTATAATTACTGTTTACTATTTACTAGGTATAGGGGAAACAGATAACATTTCAGTGGATCATGAAAGAACAAATGCTTTTTTTTTTTTTTAACCTTGAGGGGGAAAAAAAAAAAACAAAACAAAACCAAAAAACAAACAAAAACCACCACTATTATCATCACTTCATATTTATTTTTAAAGGACACATTAAGAAAGGCAAATGCAAGTCAATTTGTAAGTCCTGGAAGTAATCTTGTTAATTATTACAAGTTTGATTACCATATTAATAATGACAATAAAGCTAGCACAAATCTTAGATATGTAGCCTTTTAATGATTTTTCCCCCCATCAACGTGGTAACATATTAAAGGAAGAACAGAAAATGACAACATTCCATGCAGAAACCTGCCAGACTGGAAACTAAGTGGATGTAACCAAAGCCACTTGCTGAAGTCACCAGGGGTTTATACTTGTACAATTGACATATGACCTGTTGTCCACTTAAAGATTAAGTATCAGCTCACATCTAGTCATTGGAAAGTCTAATCTAAGGAGAAAGATGAAAATGGTAGAAGTCATTTGGATACTAAGAAGCCTATATTAGAATGATAAACCACTATTTTTCTGCTCTCTTAAAGTATGCTGGCAAAAGTGAACTCTGTAACAAATGTCAAGTGACCCCAATTCCTTCCAGCCCTCATTTATCTGCTTTATAGAACTTTTGCATAGTTGTCATGTAGTAAGACACATTCAGCACGAACATTAAAATGGCAAAGGAAATGCAATGGAAACAGAAATGCAATATTTTATGGTATTTATTTAAATATTAATCTAGCCAGAATGACAAACTCAGAAATATTTGCTTCCCTCTATAGTACTTATTCTGATTTTTAGAAAGAACTGAATTCTCATCTGTTTTGATGACTTCTTGCTTAAAAGCAGGGAAGCACACCTGAGAATTTTAGTATTTGCACTGAGATTTGGGATGAACTAAGAAAACATTTGGGTGTGTTCACTGAGCACTACCACATGCTGCATCTGCTGCCTTCCTCAGTGGTGCTACCCTGCAGATGGGCCAGTATGGCTGCCTTCATTCCTCCTGGTCACCTACGTTCTGAAAGTGACATTCCCTGTCACACAGGTCTCCACTGCAGGAGGGGATGCACCACCCTGAAGCAGTGACAACTCCATTTCTGATTATCACTCCAGACACACAGTCTGGCTCCAGCACTGCCTGTGCATCAACCTGGGCCCAGTTTGATTCTCACTGTTCAAAGTCTTACGTCAAGTCAGGCAGATGTACACATATAAATACAAAGGAAAATCCTTTATGTCCCACCCCTGTGGTGTTCTAGACCATTTTTGTGCATTTTCCATTTCCATTAGAATTTCATTCAGTTCTCAAATATCAAGCAGCAGCTAGATGACAATTTCTGCACTTCAGAGAAGACACTGTGCTCACTGCTGATGTTTCCATTAGACTTTTTTTTTTTTTTTTTTTTTGTCAAGAATTTACAGAGAAAGGTCTTAAAAAAGATACTGAATCTTCATAGCCATTGCACAGCTCCTATCACCAGCTGGACTCTCAGAACTCAGTGAGGTTTCCTATGGTAAATGTCAGGTTTCCTGAGTATTAGGGTGCCTCATGTGCTTTGGTTACTAGGGAATGAATAAACAGTGCTTCTTAAAGCAGAGAACACAAGTAACTCACAAGACAAATAATCATTACCCATGTTAGACAAGAGAGTAGCTTTTACGAGTCATATATACATGTGGTGTCGTACCAAAGCAAGATCAAAAGATATTCTCCTGTCTTTTAAGTATAGTTTATCAAGTATACTTTATTCATATATAATGAAAAGTAGATTTTGATCACAAAACTCCCCTTTCAAAAAATGAAAAAATATATGGTTTTTTTTATTGATTAAAGATTTTTTTGCCAAACTCTACTTAACAGCAAAACAGAAATAGTTGCACGACGTGCCCAGCATTCAGAAGTCTGGAAATTGTAATGTTTGTTCTGAATAGTTCAAAATAATGACTTTTGGGTTCTGTTTTTCGTGTATGAGTTCTGCTAATACGTTTTAGTTAAGCAAGAATTGGGGTGACGAATATAATTATTACAAACTTGAAATAGTTATATTGTATGACTCTTCAAAAGCAAACAATCAGAAAAGAAAACACAGAACCAACCAACAACAAAAACTGTAGATGAGAAAAAAATTAAGGAAGCGTACAAGCCTGCTAAAAGTCGTGTTTCCAAGAATCTTTGACTTACATAAGCATTCAGCTATATTTTGCTTTTCCTTTAGACATTGTAGAAGGAATGGTGAACAAAGGAATTTATGTTACTGAAAAGAAAGGAGTTACCTTTCTCTTCTTTGGAAGATATCAAAATTCCTGCATTAGCAACCCAGAAGTTTGTGGACCTGAAGGTTAGTAAACTAATTACTAACTCAACAGTTCAGCTTTTACTGTCAAATTACATAATTTAATAATAATGTAATGAATCCTCTAAAATTCCAGCATGACACATTTCTTCATTGGCTTTAAAACAATTGAGTGGAGGTTACTGAAAATGTGTGTAATGCAATGGAAAGCACAACAACAACAGCACAGCAGCATGGTCCCAGGCTGCAGTAAGTGAGGGTTTGCTCAAACACAACAGCCACAGAAATAAAGGAAAAACACTGCTTACCTTCAAAACACCCCATGCATACAGGAATCTGCAGTCAGATACTCTTGCCTCCACTGCCAACTCTTAAATTGCACACAACCACTGCATGCACCTGAGCTCCCCTGGGTTGGCCCTGCCTTCCCACCAGGTGCTCAATCACTGCTTCAAGCCCTGAGTCAGCATTTCTGCTACCATGCAGTTTTTTCCTAACTGCATTTGAAATTACAAGTAATCACTAACTGCTCAGATCAATGGTGTACTGTACAATTAACTCAAACAAAAACAAAAATAAGCTTACACTACCATAAATCTTTCATCTAGCACCGAGATTAATGGTGCTACAAAACTATATGATAAATATAAGTCATCCTACAGGTGAAATTTAGGAGATTGTGTTTTAAATGTGTGATATTTCAGCAGGAATGCTTTTTTCAAACTGATTTTTGCAGACAATTATTTAAAATTTCTGATTTCGTGGAATCCATTTGTCCATATCCACAGACACTTAAATTCTCTTCCCTCTGTTCTCTTCCCTTTCTTTTTCTTGGGTAAAGATCACAAAATGACCAGTGTTATAAGGGTGCACTGATTTGACATGCTGATTATAGAAGAACATAAAGCTGTAAGCAACTATCAACATAAGGACACAACCAGTCAGTATCAATACCTACATTAGAGACTTAAGATTTAGTCAAAATAAAAAACCTCAATTTACTACTGATCCTTCCATATGTAACCTCCAGAAGTCCCTAATCTTAAACACTGTTGCTAACACTGAATTTTCTTGCTTTTACTGATTTAAGCCATTCTTCAAACCTTAAATAGGATTTTTTTTTTTAGCTATGCATTAACTTTCTATGAAAGAAGGAGAAATTCAGAGAGAAGATACCTTTTCTATTACATTGTAGTGGAAAAGAGAATTCATTATCCCACATATTGTCAGATACATACAGTACCTTCTGATATATATTTTCATACCACTAGAAAGTAAAAATATCTGCAAGTCACATTATTTCTACATCCATAGTATAATATAATATTCAGGATAATTTATTTTTATAACACCAGAGCATTCCCAGTATCTTACAAACAAGAACATTCTTTTCTGAGTCTTTCAGCATAATGAGAAGTTTCTTTAGTGTTCACTTTGTCAGCACCTCATGAAGCTACTCAAGCATCATAAAGCACAGTGAGTATGGAAGATTTTCAATAAAAATCCACTCTTGCTTCCTTCCATCAGGAGTAACGTTTTCCTTTTTCTGGAAGACTCAAGACCAACAGACGAAGTTTCCCCCTGCCTCTGGTGGGCAAGTGATTTCCAGTGGTTTCAAAATCTGTTCAAGTGAAGGTGAAGGTTCAGTGGAATTTTATACCCGTGGGAATGCAATGATGAAGTGGAAAGCAAGTTTTAGTCCACCAGGTAAGTTCACCTTTTTTTGCCTTTATGTTTTACATTATTCTTGTAGACAGATTAGAGAGATGTAATGGTACAAGCCATTACAAGCCAATGGTATATTATCAGGAAAATGTGGACATAAAAGTAATTAGAGCTCTGTGGTTGAATTCTCATGGTGGGGGTAAGGTGAGAGAAAGGTGAACTGCTAACTCACTGATACTGAACTACACAACATTTGCTGTTCAGCAGCAGTACTCAGACCTGCCTTCCAGTTGTCTGAATTGCAGTTCCTATTGGCATAAGTAGATTAATGGTGCTTAGATGGAAACAGCTGGGTGAGGAACACAGGTTAGTCTCTCCATATATTCTAAAATCTGTACATGTACAGGACTCTACTATCTCCAAAATAATGACATTATTTAGTAATGATTTAACTGGATATTTAGTGCCTTGTTCATTTTGTCAACTGTTAAGTGTCAAATTTTATGTCATGACATGGTATTAAGAAGCATTTTGGTATATCACATATCTTACTGCTAAACTTTGTATTGTTGGGAAACTCTTACCTAGTGACTGAGACAAATTCTGGACTTACAGTAATGCCAGTGACAGTCACTAAAGTTTTTTCTTGTCGTTATTTAACTATCTGCAAACTGGGAATATAGGACTTTCTCAGCTCATAGTACCAAACTTTTATAATCAGTTTAGAAATCTTATTTTAAGAGAAACCCACGTTTGTGGGTAATTCAATCCAAGTAAAAATGAGTAGGATCTTTTCAGCCTTTCAACTGTAACAAAGAAAATGTGGCAGCTTTAATTAGTCTGTTTGCCTGCTCTCCAGTTCCTGCGGTCTTTATGAAGTTCTTGCTGAATTGAATTTTGAGACAGTATTGAAGAGACTTCAAGTCTTGGCCAATAGTACTTAGCAAGTGTAATTTATGGAACTGAAGAGAGCCTCAGTAAGAGTTCAGACAAAAGCTAACAGGCGTTCTGCCAAAGTATGGGCTTCCCCATGTGTGTAAAGATTAATATGCATGACATCAGCATTCCATAATTCACTTTCAGCACTTCCTATACTTCTCCATAGCATTGCACAAGTCAGCAGAAACTTACTGAATAGGAGAGGCACTAAATGGAAATGATTCATAGATTTTGCTGTGACTTACTGTTTTCTAGGTCCTTACTGGACTCATATTCTCTTCACTTGGAAATCAAGAGAAGGACTGAAGGTCTACATCAATGGAACTCTAAACACAACTGATCCAGATGGGAAAGTTTTCTATGATTATGGGGACCCCAGTGCAAATCTGCTGACTGGAACAGAAGGGGATCAAACGAAGCGCTACGTGAATGGAGCATTTGATGAATTCATTATATGGGAAAGGGCACTCACCCCCAATGAAATTGAGCAGTACTTTACAGCTGCTATAGGTGAGTATGTGCACTCTTACTGCCGTAAGTCATGTTCTGTAAAGATGCTGTCTAAAAATGGTTAGCGTGTAGGATTTGTGTTCATATCTTTCAGCTATTTAATATAGTTTTTTTCAGAGGTAGAAAAAAAACATTTGTGAAAGGCACTGAAATATTCAGCTGTCTTTGCACACGCAGTGTTTTCATCTGGGCTTCTTCTTCCTTAAAAATGTCAAAAAAGTTTACCAAGATCAGAAGTCTGCAGCCATTTTTGTATCCCCTGGGATTCAGTGAAGAAGAGCAATAATCAGACTTGAGGCAGAATGCTATTAAGAAATATTGACTCCAGATTTCTAACAGTCTTGTGTAATCTTAGAAGCAACTCACTTAGCATATTTCAACAGCTGTGGATAATAATGCTCATCTCTCCAGTTCCTGGAGCAACAAAGATTTAATAACTCACATAGGTTTGTGAACTAAAAAAGAAAGATATTTACTAAAACTTAATATAAATTAAAAAAGGAATCAGGATTTGAACAAAAACGTAGAAGGCAGTGGCCAGTAATATTTCAGCTGTGCTACAGATATCCATAATGAACTTTTCAGTACAAGAGAGGCTGTTGCTATTAAGTGTTTGTAACAGTCAAAAGTTTGTAAAAGTGTGAGTAACAATCAGAAAATGTCCCTCTCAGGAATAAAGCTATGGGGCATCTGGAACATTTAGCTTAGCCGGTGGTTCTTCTATTTTCATTAATTCTTATTAGGTTACTGAGAGCTAACGCAGTTACACTCAATTACTCATGTGCTTTTAAACCCATGGGAGCAATTTTCACAATGGACACTCTTTGAATAACACAGCACAGGTGCAAACCTGTAAATGAGAATGTGTGCATTTGTGAGATCCAGGTTTGATAATGGCAATCAACTTACATATACAGTATATCAGAAAAAACAGAATGGATAAAATAGAATTGAAACCACTGAAAAGAAAACCCTATATCTAGTATATAATGAAACAGATCATATTTGCAACAGATCTAAATTTTTGAAGAGTTATACAGAATTTTGCCTATATCTTCTTACTCCATTCCTGTTGGATTTTGGAAAGTTACACAGCGAACTCCCTGACTTGTACATTAACACCTCCTTGCTGTGCTGTGACCTTGTGTGAAGCTGAATGTTTACTGAAATTTGCGTTATACCAGGTTTTTCTGGTTTTAATTTTCTTAAAGCCTCGGTTCAAATGCCTTCAGGATCATCAGGAACTTTGTGAAAAATCTAAAATAAATTTCTAACATCTAAAATGAAAGTAAAACTTGATGCGCATTTTTTTTTTTTCTAGAGGCATGGGAATTAAAATGTAAAGGGGCATCACGTATTATTTTTTTTTATAAGTACAAAGTCAATATTATTTTAAAGTGTTAAACTGAACTGGAGAAATGTGGAATACTGAGCTTTGGATTTTTCACAAAGTAACGGACTGATTAGATTTTATTATTTATTTTAATTTCCCGTTGGAATTAGGAATAAAGCTGGGACCTTCTCAGAGGCAGTAACAGACATTGCAAGACTACTCAACACAGTGAATCCGTTATTCTTGGTATCTGTTTATTGAGTGAGCTTGGAGATCTCAAAACAGTGATGAAACTGGACTAATGTGTTCTGACATAAGAAACTTATAGGACAGCCTGTTCTTTAACAGAATAATCACATCACATTCGGACCTGTGATAAAAATATGCCCAGCATATTCCACTACTGTTTGATTATGCTGGAATACCATACTCTTGGGCAAACATAAATTTTTGGGAAGATGTAGTTGAGAAGAAAATTTTATTTCTCTACCCATAAATGACCCATAAATTCTCTTGCATGAGAAGGAATCAATATCCATTCCAAATGGAGTTTATTCTTTCTGTCTTGGCAGATCACTTATGGTATGCTTATATGGTAATTTTCAGTGGGTGTACTTCTAGGGGGTGATATTTATTGCTGAAGCCCGTCTGATTAATAGCAACCTTACTGTTGCTTCAAATCAACTTAAAAGCACTGAGCAGCCACATTATGTGCAATATTCTCTGGCTACTATTGAAAGTTGTTTTCACTCCTTGACTCCTATTAGTTGCTTTATGCAAAACTAAAATGCCACATTAGGTTTAATATGCCAATGTTTCTACCCATGTTCTTTTATTTGAATGATACTTCAGTTCTGACAAAGTAATGGAAATATTTCATTGATTTTGAGCTTTTTTGTACAGTCTTTCTGAATTTGCACTATTTTATTTGCCAGTCAGGAAATTTAGACTCAAGACATAAATATTTATTTAGACAACATTAGCATTTGGAACCCATGGCTGATAGTATTCTGATTGTTTTCAATGTCTGTATCTTCTCAGTCCCTATGCTGAAGAATATATGATGCTGAAGAATCACATACAGACAAATAGAACTCGGCCACACAGGAACGAATCAGAAGTGCCCACAACATGTTATCTGTACTTGATAAGATAGGGAGATTTTTAAAATTTACTTTTCCTAAATTAATTCAACTCCTTTGTGTACGAATTTTCCCCAGGTGTGCAGTTTTTGCTCTCTTCAACTCTTTCGTGGTCTACAATGACAACTACTCCAAAACCTGTGGTAAGATAGTCCTCATAACTCTTTTCTAAAACATGAGGACTTGTTATAAATACAGAATTACAGATCTACATTTTACAGATATCATTAGTGACAATTATTTTAGTACTTGAGTATTTTTATAAGTGCTTTCAGATATGCACAGGGAGTATTTTCAGCCAGCATTGAAAGGTGGGAGAGCTACAGAACTCTTAATGTTGGACAGACAACAGGAATTCAAAGTTAATAAAAATAATTCCTCTGTATAAACAAGTAGAAACTTGTTCAACAGTATTTCAGTGGATTTTGAAGATGGAGGACATCCAAAAAAGTTTTGATAACTTCTCTTATTTTTCATATGCCATCTGTATGCAATTAGCTGTAGGCAGCCTACATGCACACAGTTATTCCTGTGTATTTCCATTTTCTTGCTGTCTGGAGTGCTGAAATTTTATTACTTCTTAGACTTTCAGGAAACCATGTCAGATAGGACCTGAATTGCTAATGAACAAATGAACATATACATGTAAATTCCGACCATCCTATTTGTTCAGTCTGTGTAACTTCCTGTGTGTAATTTACAGCCACCTGCTGTGCCTCAAAATACAGAAAAAATGCACTAACACAGAAACAATGAACAAAAAAACAACCCTCCACACCCATTAGCAGGTTCTGTTGTGTGCTGGGAAGTGTTCAACCCAGACTTTTTGGCCCTAGAAATGCTTACGGGTAGCCCTGAAGTTGCACCACTTAGAAATGCTACAGTGATTCCTGGAGAACTGAAAACTGCCCCTTAGCTCCCTTTTGAGCTAACATCACAAATGGCATCTGCTGTTTGGAATGAGCTGGTGAGTTGTATCTCTCTCTTGCAGCTGTCTACAAACGCCTATCATCCCATCATAACGAATTTGACCAAAGAGAGAGGCAACTTCCACTCCTCTGACATCCTGCTGGAATACCTGGAGAATGTCTCATTCAGCTTGCCCAATAAATCCTTGTCAGAAAATACTGCTCTAAGCCTGACAGAGGTAAACTTCTAAATTCTGTGTCTGGATCCAGATAACATTCAAATTTCCCCAGCAGGTGGAATATGGAATGCAGCTATGAAAGTTTTTGCAGATTGCAGAATCTACGTATGAAGTAAGCAGCAGCAGTTTTAGAGAATAGCAGACAGTGAGCCAACAACCAGAGAAAATAGTCCATTAGTTCTTGGGGATGTGTATTTAATGCTTAAGTTTTATAGATATTTGGAACAATGACTAGACATTAAAGATTTAGTTAAACAGCAAATAGAAAAATAGAAAATAATTTCTAATTAATTTTTTCAGCTGTGTGCTCAATGCATGTCATACATAGTGTAGGGCATTTTCCATGGTCTGAACTGATGACAAGGGGCCCGTTTTGCTAACATAAAGTTAAGCCTTCTGTAATATGATGGGCAGCTAATTCCCTGATTTCAGCAGGGTAAAATACTATTATAGTAACCGTCAGCTCTGGCCTCACCAGGGATTGTTTCTTTAAGCCTGTGGGTAACACCAGGGTGACAAGGATTATTTACTTGGACCAACAGTACAAATAAATGCCTCTGAAAACACACAGCTGGCATTTGACAGTTTCTGTTAAAGGTTTAACAAAATGTAAAGCTTGGCCTCTGTGAATCACGACTTAATGCAGAGCAAAAATCATTCTAAAAATCTCTTATCTGTTCCCTTTGTTTTGCTGAAAATTTTGTGTGGGCTCTAATTTGAAAACAGCACACCATCCTGTCAGATGTCACACCTGCCGCCCACATCATTTCAGTTGTGATCTGACTGCTCAATCACACTATCTGTTGCTTTGTGAGTTGTGAAAGTAATGTGCAGACAGAAAAGCGGGAGATGATTATCGTTAGCAAATCTGTTTTGGGAAATCAACATCAGAGTTCTGTTCATACACACAGACTGTGTCACTTGTCTGACTGATAGGCTCTGTATTGTCTGAAGTTAATTCCCTGAAAGACAAGCACCAAGCATGCATGCTATTTTCAGTAAGGGTATCTCTCTACTGGTTGTCATATACCTCACAGCACAAGAAAATCTGATGTAAGTGATATGCAATAAGCTGTCTGATTACTGACATAATGTATTGCTTCTGACAAATCTTACTCACGTTTTCTGTTATAATTCTGTTCTGCCTAGCAGTTCCAGTCCTCCTGCTTTCCCTCCTCTTCTAGCAGTCTAATACATCCTTTTTGTGTTAATTCTGAAGTGCTGCTGAGTCTTGGGAAGAGATGCTTCCTGAAAGCTCTCAGCAGTCAGGGCTGGGTCTTGGCTTTAAGATAAACTCTATGCATGCCACACTCAGTGTTTCAGGGAGGCAGCACAGAGCTTGCAGTTGCTAGAAGTAAAAGGTTATAGAAAAGCTCTGGTACTGCCCTGTGTTTCACTGCTTATAAAAATGTGCTCATAAAACACTCTGGTGCTGCTTTCTTCTGTGTTTCTCAATGAGACTTTTATATTCAGTCAATGCTTTTAAGGTACGTGAAAGAGATGTTTAAGCAGGAATGTGATTTTTCTTTTGATTTTTTTGGTCATTTTTGTTGCTCCCTATTTCCTCCGTGCATTTATTATCTCTGTTAGCAAGACTCCTTAGGACAGAGTCTGTATCATGAACAGTGCTCATCATGATGCATCTTGACCTCAAAAACAAAAGTGAAAAAGTTAAGCAGGAAATAATCAAATTTAGCAGCTGATGGAGCCCAAATTTATATGCAGTGCTGATGAAATATGTAATCATAGATGAAAACGCATTCTAATGTCGTGTGAGTTTAGACAAACTAGGAAAATAAATTCTTTCCCCTAAGATCCGTTGTTGTCACATTAGATGTAATTATTGTACTCTGTGAGCTTCGTAGCGGTGATACTTCTAATAAATAAGCCATTAATTTAAAATACTACATAAAACATGATGGGAATGCTTGCAGTGGGGATGAACCTGGCTAGAATGAAAAACAAAGTTTGTAATCTTAAAATAAACCAAAGGAAATCCAAGAAATCTGCCTTGTGTGCCTGCCAGGAGGTGTACCAGATGAAAAACAAAATTACATTGTTTCACTCTTTCAGGCATTTTTAAAAGTTATTGAAGACTTTCTGCTATTACCCAACTGGCCTGAAATACCTGAGGTAAGAGAAGTGAGCTTTGATTTCTTGGTTAATTCAGATGTGTGATTTAGAGTAGACAGTAAAGAATTTGGTTGCCTCTATTCCTGCTACATCTAGCAGGATGACTTATTTGGTCTTATGCCATTTGCGTATTTGAAATAAAGATCCCCCTACAAAACAATTGAAAAATAGATGTGGTTTTTAAGGCTAAAGTAGGTAAATTTTATATGTATGTTTCCACACATTTCCGGATGAAAGAAACAAGCTAAACCTGTATTTATAAAATAACAAACATTGTCAATGAAGTCAGCATTTAACCTCTCTTGCCCCAAAGTTAGCTTTTTATTTTTGAGCCTTTCACTTTTGTAATTAGTGCGTTTATATTTTTTTGTAGTTTGACTTTTCTCAGAACACATGAGGGATGTAGCAGCACTTACTTAATTCAGTGGAGTGAAACTTTGACAGAGCTATCATCTGACATAGGAAAGGCAACCTGCATCAGTGATCTTTCTCTTCTGGTCACCCATCTGAATTTGAATGCAGAAAAATACTTTCCCAGGCATTTCCTGAGATTTTTTATTTGAATCTTAAGGGAACGCAAATTTCATAACAGAAAGCTTTTAAAATGGGTGAGGAGGACAACTACTAATGTAAATCAGGGTGTTACTGAATCCTAAGGCACTTTTAAGAAAGACACATAGATATCTAATGGATTTAAGTTATTAGCTTAAAATCCTAGATTCCTAGATTGCCTTTTGTGTAAGGAAATATCAAATCAAGTAGATTTATTCCACATTAAAACATGTGTTCACTCTGATGACTGTTTTCTGGGAGACATGTAAACACTTCCCATGTAGTTTTGTACTGGGGAATGTTCCAGTATAGATGAAAGAAGAGCTGGTTTACGGTGTGTTTAAAATCATGTCCCAATGAGTGTCTGATCCAAGTCTTTAAATACTGCCAAAATAATCTGTTCTGTTCTTGATGTCATTTTTCTGAATCCTGAATATAACTGACAAATGCTGATAGGAGCAAAGAGTCCTTTAGAGATGCTCCATAAAACATAGTATTTTACGAGATCAGGCTCTGTGTGACATCACTTTAAATAACATTTCATCCACTCTATGTGGAAAATGTTATGGAGAAAATCACATGATTTTTTGGACAGACAAACAATGACTTACACAGGAATTTATCATGGCACCTTGGCATTTTGTGCCGTGAACTTCAATTTTTCTTGTTGTAGAGCCTTATCTTTCTTCTTCTCTCAGACTGCTCACATATTTGGAAGCTTAATTCAAACTATTGACAGTGTGATGGTGCATATGACATGCAATCTGGAAGAAAACTCGATGTCTCTAACTGTTGAGGGTACATCATCCATAGCAGGTAGGATTTAACAGAGCTGTTCTCTCTGTTGGGCCTGTCAGGGTGTCCTGAATGCTTCTGTGCATGCAGCCCCTCTACTTTGCTAACACTTAAGAGGAAATCAGAACAAATTATTCTCTCTTTTGAATTCCATTTCAGCTGCAGAAAGTTCAGAAGTAATCATCTCTAACTGCACTTGAAGTTCTTGAGTTTATCTGGGGAATGATTTCATATACGAACCCAAAAGAACTCTACGAAAGACTTAGCACAGCACAGACTATACTAGTAGGCAATTAAAGTACTGCCCACAGCTTTTATTCAGTGCTCGCAACTTGCAACTGTACAGATACTAGAAAACTTCAATTTGGGGAGAGGAGTCTAGTTTAAACCTTTCAGGAGAGTGCTTTCTTTTACCACTGTTTTGCATCCTCAACCTAATTTCATCTGCTACAGGTAGCAAAGGTAATTGATCTGTTCCAGCATTTTTATTCTACTTCATTGAGACTCACTTGAGCAGTCACTAGTACCATCAATCACTGCACACACACTCCCTAAGTTGTCTTGGACACTGGAATTCTCAATGAAAGTGTTCTGAAATTACACTTTCAAATGTCAGTGGAAAGGGAAGATAGTGCTATCAATCTGCTTTTCAAGCATGGGTGAAGTGATCCACCATATACTAGCACCCTGTGTACTGCCTTTCCTCTCATAAAGAATTTGGGTAGAAAAGGCAATTTTCTTTGCAAGGAATTTATTCTACTTTCTGCAAACATATGGAATTTTAGAGTCAAGATTTGCAATAGCTGCTAGAAAAGCAAAGCTACATACTCATGAAGTTTGTAATAAAGGCAATTGATTCTGTCATTATTTTTGTTTGGATTCTCACACAGACTACACTTTGGCCAAAATGCATTCCAAGACTCTGAATTTGTCCCATTATCGCTTTCCATCTCGAGGACAGAGTTACATTTCTATTCCCAGTGAAGCTTTTCAAGAAAGAGGTAAGAAAAAATTAAAGGGAGAGCAGGAGTATGGAAATATTCAAGAATAATTCTGCTTGAAAACAGTTTTCTGTTTGCCCTACTTTTACAAATGACCAATTGATCATACCAGTTCTAAATCAACAACAGCTCTTCTGTCACAATAATGAATGACCAACGTGGTAGAATTTTTCATCTTACTTGAATAATATTCCTATTACTTGAATTCAACTTGAATAACACAGCTAGACTGCAGAGAAGACAGCTATTAATGATGATGTCTTTTTATGTGAGAAAAGCCTTCATTTCTTAAATTATTTTTATTCATCCAAACTAATTATTTTTAAGAAATTTCAGGTTACCAGATCCCTCATTACTTGTATTTCCATGCAAAATCTGTTTTAACATTTTTAATGAAATTTATCTATAAAATGACAGAGCTAAGCAACAGCATATCCAGAAACAGATTAAAGATGTGAACAACAGTCAAGGCAATGGGGCAGAACTAAGAAATTCATGCATGTGCTAAAATTTTAGCTTATCTCAAAAGATGAGAAGATGGCAAAAATCTGAAATTTCAGTCAAAATTTAAAAATAAAAATGTTTTAACCTAATTCTGTGATGTAATCAAGAACTGAAGAAATCTGCTTACAAAAGTATCTACCTGGATCCTTAAGTCTTTGAAAATCCAGCCTATGTACCCTAACCCCCCATCCACAGAACTGACACACACACACAGACTTTTCCTTGGTCGTGTCTCTTGAAAAAAGCCTGGTTCCTTATTCACACAATGCAAAGTCAGCTGCAGATACTCTGCAGGGGTGTTTTGCAGCCAAAACTCACTTCTGAACAAGTTCAGCCTTATGCTGAACGACACAATCCAAAGAATTAACCTAAACATTTATTGCTCCGCCTCAAGCATTTCACGTTATAAATCCTTGGAACCCAGCAAAAGGGATAATAAAGGGCACTTATAAAATACACATCTCTCTCTCCTCTCAGATGCTGAAGAACCCATAAATACTTGGAATGCAGACAGTGAACAGGCAGTTGAAGCAGAAACCAGTTGCCTGTGCTCAAGTTTTGTAAACTGCTAATGTTAATGTACGTAGAGGTTAAACAGCCTTGAAGTTACTGTAGCTACCATTGAGATGTTGACTACATAAGCCATGCAGCCATTCTGGTGACACGTAGGAGTTTTACAAGGACAAACGAGTACTTAACAACTTACTCATTTTGGAAGTACAGCTGCATAGGGCAAGCCTGCTTCTATTTCAATACCTAATTTCTACTTCTTCACTTATTTTAAAAAATACTGAGAATTCAATAATGAGAATTGTTACAGAAGCCAAAGATCGTAATAAAGTTTTAATTCTAGGAGAGAAAAGTCTCTTGCTTACATCTGTTGCCTCTTTCCTTTTCACAGCTTGGATTACCATTGTCGGCATGTTTTACCATAACATGCACTACTTCTTTCATAGTATCAACCCTATGGATACCAAGTAAGTACCTAAGACCTCTCATGCTGTAACAGCTTGTTTATTACCTTTACAGCAGTCGTATCTTTATCGACTGTAAATAAATTATGAGCCTTGATCCTGATTCTGCAATATTGACGACATGTAGTCATTAACTAGGGTCAGATTAAATCTTAAGTTAGATGCTTTATTTTATGCCATAATAAAATAGATTCCCATGGCAACGTTTGTCTTTCCTTGTCTTCCCTTTCTGTTCATCAGATCTGCTATTAGAATTTCATAACTTTAATCTGTCTTATAAAAGGCAAATTACATCTTTTCTCCTGACACATATAAAGATAAAGTTTGCACTTTAATGAAACAAGTAAGAAAACAACATCCCTCCATAGATAAAATCTGAATCCTGGAAACCTGTAAGATAATTTTACAACTGGAGACCAGGCAATGCTTAAAAGACCTTCTGTTTTATATGCTGCACCAATGAAATCGTTAGCAGATAAGATAAAGTAAATGGAGACCCATATACTTCTCAGTCTGAGAGATCCCCACAGAATTTTGCGAGGCCATGCATGTAAATCATTACACTTTTCTTTTAAGATAGTATGACTGTATGTTTTCAATTGATCTACACTAACGTACCTAGATTAGGTCACACTTTCTGTCTTTTCCATACTGTGGCTTTCATCATATTATGTATGACAACAGAAGGAAGGAAGAAGCATCTCAGCTGTCATTTATTTTAGGGATTACTTTCCTTTCTTTACATACAGCTACATGGAAGGTCATGATCGCGGGAAATCATTTGTGATATCCTGGGTAAAGGTTCCTGGTTTATGACCAGACTGATCACACTGAGATAATGACATGACTACTACTAAACAGCATTTTAAAATCATGTAGTAAATTGCATTGTTGCTTTCCCTGCTCTCTTAAAAAAAGGGCACTTAGCAGGTGGCTGTGAAGGATCTGCGTCATTAGTGTGCAATAATTCTTACTGACATGAAGAAATAGGGGCTGCTCACTCTAGTTACTGGGATAAGAATTAATGTCTTATAGTGATTTTTCTTCCTGATCAGAACTAAGAATTGATGCTTGGGGTTGTGCTAAATGAGATTTGTTTTATTTGATCTTGCTGAGGAACTGAATGAAGTTACTTTAATATCAGACATTTTTCTTCTTTCCACAAAGAAAAACAAGAAAACATTGCAAAAAGGTGGCAGATATAAGATAGTTTTTAATGTGTCTTTCAAATACAGCTCTTTCTAGTAGTATGCCTTGTTTGGATACCCAAGCTGATGGTTAATTCACCTTGGCTCTAATTTTTCGTTGTAATTAATGTTCATTCATATGCTGAAGAGTTGAATGACAGAAAATATTTTACAGCTGCACACTCTTTTTTACTGATAGTGTAAAAAATTTTACACTGCAGCTGAATAGATTTTAGTTATTCCTAAATGCACAGAAATGTGAAAGTCAAAAGTTATAGCTGAAGGCCTGAAGGCAGAAATTAATGCTCTTACCATGTACTGCAGAACTATACAGTTCAGGAAAAAAAACAAGTCACCTGGGCTAATCAGATGTTTAGTCAGGCCTTCCTCTGTTGTACTCTGTCCCCAGCTGCTCTCTAACAAATGTTACTGGAAATAGTCATTGTTTTCAAAGTAAAACTATAAATTGTTTCTAAATATATGCATAACATTTGTAATGTATTCATTGCATACAATGCCAGTGTATGCTTCAGACTAGTATGCATGTTTAATTATTCAATTATTCTCTTTGCACGAGTGTTTCTTTGCTTGGTTTATTTTTATACTCCTTACTTCACTGCAGTCTCCCTAATGATCTCTCCCACTCTCTCAACAACCCTTTGGTTGAGGCAGTTTGTTGGGAAAGTGGGTGCTTGGATAATTCACTACTGTGACATTATTCCAAGAGGTGCTTCACACAGGAGCAACATTTCCCAGGCCGAGTTGAAAGAGGTCAATACTAGCATGAACTAAAAAGGCTTTCTTTTCCTACTTATCTAATATATTTCTTTCTTCTTAAGGATTGCTGAAGCTGCTGCTTACAAAGGCTATATGATCTCAGCAGCCAGTTATCTCATCTCTATCAAAGTAGATCCTCCTCCCAAGTTGTCCCACAACCTGTCAGGATCTCCTCTTATAACCATCCAGCTCACCCACGTACTGGTAAGTAAAATGGAAACTCTCAGTTTAGGCTATCCTGAGGGCTGTTCAAAGCTTCAGTGTCTGTGATGATTTCTTGGTTTCTTGTAACTTCTCTGGGCAATTTAAGTAGCAGTTCGGATGGCATTTGTGACTACAATATTATATTTTTCCAGTCATTACACATAAATGACTTCTGTTTCCATCACAGCAAAAGGCTGCATGTGCTGAAAAAGACTATGAAGTGAGAAGTATAGTTTTAGGACTTTCTACATACTTTGTTCTATGGTTATGCTTGTGCAATTTGCAACAGAGTGAATGACTGCTTTCACACTGGAGCTGTCAGAAAATGTTTTATTCATGGTTTCTGCTTTTGATTTTTCTCTACACTAATATAATGTTCTCATGAATGATCCAAGAGATACAACCCTTCTGAATATGATGAGCAGAGCACCTCTTGATTGGGAAGGGAGCAGATTCAACTCTGATCTAGCACCTGTCCTTTCTACAGAAGAGAACTCTTATTCTGAATTTGACAAACATCAAGACAAACTGTATTCAAACTGATTGATTTCAGTAGGCCATGCAAAATTCACTCAATTAATGTATTCTAATAAGAAACTAGAGGAATAGCTGGTCTTGCTCAATCTTAGAGAAAAAGACTTTTTTGTCTCATCAGTGGAAGTGGAGAACAGTAGTTTAAATTCTGAGGTGGTGGCACCTCATGTTATTTCTGTTAGGCTTAGTGCAAATCTGGAGGAGATGGGGAAAAAGAACTGAGGAAAAAACTTCAGACATAGAAATGAAAAGTGTTGTTAGCTGATGTTTTCCAAGCTGAGGACTCTCCAGAATGTCCCTGGTGGTCTCAAAGAGGTGGAACTGGTCAGTGGGACTCTGGTTGTATTATGTGAAGATCATTTATAAAGTGCACTTAGATTTATTTATCCAGGTACCTCCTCATGCTTTTAGTGCTGTGATTTACCAGCAGATCATCAAATATTACTGTGTTTTTTCTTTATGTCTGTTCTCTGTGAAGATTACTGGGATCCTTGAATGCAGACAGAAATGTCACATTTCTCATTACAGCACACTGCACAGTAGTATTTTTAAACCATCTATTTTTACTTTAAAAAAAAAAAAAAGAAAAGAAAACAAAAAAGAAAAGCATCCCAATTGTCTCCATAGGTTTTTTGTTTGCTTGTTTTTGCCTTAGGTTCCAAAGATAATTCCTTATTATAGGTTAAGAGCAAACAGATGAGCACATGATCATTTGGTTTGGGTGGGGTTTGATTTAGACTACATTTGAACACTAAGTATAGCACAAGCTGGGAGGCTGGGGGAGAGTAATGTCATCAATCTAGCATAAGACCTGCTACTTTGTGCTCCAAAATCCTGCCAAATAACAGCAACAGGTTAAAACCTTCGGCCTCGGACCAAAAAACTTACAGTCTGCAATATAAGCTGCAATTGCTCTTACGTTTTCTTAATCTGTAATAGCAGATTTAATTTAAAGATAACTATTATTAATACCCTATTCAGCGTTAGAAATAATATGCTGCTGGCTTTTATGTCCAATTAACTGCTACCACCCAATTACTTGTCAAAAATTTAAGAGGTACAGTGAAGTTCTGCTCTAGAACGGTATACACATTGGACTTGCTAGGAATCCTGCTTGCCTAAAACACCTATGGCTTTGGGAGTATAATTTATGTCTTGCTTTTAATTATCAGGTATGCTTAAAATCCAGAAATGGATGAATAGATTGATGTAAGATGACAGTGGGCCTGTTCTCTTGCACTGCTGTAGATTTTAAATGTCTCCAGTGAAGTACATGGAGTACTTCTAAACAGTTTAAATTCAGGCATCTTGTGAACTTACATACTTAAATTTTCTTAAGTAATTTATGTAAGTAAATTTAATTGAACTTATTCAAGTAGATTGTGAAATGACAGGATGTCTCTGAAGCCTTTTATACTATAGCAGCACAAGTCCCTTCTATCATGGTTCCACTCTGGTCTCACCCATTTCCATACGCTTGTTGATGAAGTAAAAGTAGAATTTAAATTCAAAAGGAATGCTGGCTGCAATTTCACTGTGTTAAAATATGTACATTCTTTTAAAAACAGTCAAACCATTTATAGAAATTTATGATCAAATATAGCTGTTAAACCAAGAACAAGAAATCCAGCTTAAAAACGTGTTTCAAGCACTAAAATATTTCTTACTTTTCAAATAGTAATGGTTATAACACTTAATAAGGATACCAATAACATCCTTCAGCTGTGTTAGTTTCACTTAGTATTCTCTCTTTAACAGAGAGGAAAGCAGAATAATAAAAACACAAAGGAGAAAATAACAAATCCAAACAAATAGCTTTCCCTATGAAAATTTAAGCTTGATGCTAACTTCCTTCAATTGAACTGATTCAGATATTGCCACCCCGGTGGAGCCCATGGGACTGCAGAAACAGAAAAATGTGAGAAATGAAAAGAGAATGTTTTGTTTTCTTGCAATGATTGTAGCAGTGCTTGGCACAGCTCAGTAAGACTTTCATTCTTTTTCCAGTGAGTGTAGGAAGAAGGCCAATCAATGAGCAACAGAAAGCCAAAGGCAGTGAAATGAAACACGTCTGCTCTAGGAAATAGTTTTAAGAAGATGTCCGTGAGCTGAGTATTGACGTTTGATTCAAGATTTCAGAGAGCATTTATAATTCCACAGACTAATTTGCTTGTTAAATCTTCCAGTAGGCCAGAATTCTCCAGGTCTCTCTGAAATTGCCTGCATCCTACATGTAGCTTTTAGAAGTTGGTGGCTTACACTGAGATCATTAAATCTCTCTGGTTTTGAAACACGAAGTAAAGTAAACTGATATTAGTAGCCATTTAGATAAGGATGTAGTGAATATATATGTGACATGTTAATTCCTCTTTTTGTAGACAGCATCAGTGGGGTGGTGATCACTAAGTATGAAGAACTGGTGGGTGGCCAGCCTGGGAGGCAGGCTGGAGGCTCAGTGTAGTGCCTAGCTAAACCAGAGCTGTGGGGAGGAAAGGATAAGTCACCTCATGGTTAACAAATATGCTGTTACTGCCGTGCATACAAAGTCCTGCTCCTTGGTGCCCTTCTTCAGTGAAACCTTTTGGGGTTTTCCTGTAAATCCTATCTCATATTCTGTTACGAGACTTCCTTAACTCTCCAGAGCCAGGAACCACACGACAATGTCAGTGTTATTACTGTAAGTGTTGCCTGCGTGCCTGGGAAGTGTTCTCTTGGGACACTCCTTTGCAGATGGAAAAGCACAGGGAAAAGTTCAACCTCTTCTCCTGACTGTTCCCATCATAAAGTCAGGCTGAAAGTCCTCTTGCCGATCACCGAGATTGAGAAAAGGTTAAGGAGTATTTTCATTGAGCTCTTAATGAGGTGATGAGATTGAGCTGCCTCTAAATGTACCCAGACAGGATCCTTCTCCCTGTTGCCTTTTGTCTGGCCAGCAGCATGCAATGTCCCAGCGTTTGTTTAACATTACTGATAGGAAAATAAAATGAGAGAAGAACAAGTTCCAATCTGTACACAAATATTAGTGCTACCATGAGAGAGACAAATCAATGTGGAGTCAATTTATTTTTATGGCAAGTTAAGTGTTGACTAATTTATGTATTGATTATGGAAAAACAATGGTTTTTGCTCACATCTGAAGAATAAAGGCATAATTTTTGACTGGGTAGATTTTGCTAGAAAAATTTGAATACAATATAACTAAAAGTGTGGCTCATACAGGGTATTTCACAATTAAACATAAAGGAAAAAACAATAAAAGCTTTTAATTTAAAAATCAATACACAGTTCAGTACTTTCTTACATAAGTTAAATCTTTGCTACAATGAGTACAGAAAATCAATTGAATTCAAATGAGAAATGAACATCGTTACAGCTAATTTTCTTGTTCCAAGGCAACCTTAAAATAGCAATAGTCATTATGGTGATATACGACATCTCTAAACAATACAGCAATACTTCTGTATTGTTAATGTTATTAACAGAAACATCCTAGGAGTCATTTTCTCGTAAGAATCCATTCTGAAATGTACAACGGCGCAGTAATAAAAAACGCATCTTTTCATTAAGCACATTTACAATTGCCTGCTGTAATAATGAGGATTGCGTTGCAGTGAGTTATAACCCACAGAAAGTTTATTTTCTGTGTTAAAGCTGACTTTAGTGCTTGGAGATGCAGCACTCCACAGGTGTTATCACTCATTTGTCATGAGTTGCCCTCAATACTTGTAAATGAGTCCTTACCCTTTGAGGGGGATATTGTGACAAGTGAGGGCACCACGAAGTAGTGGAATGCTTTTGGAAGTGTACAAGTAAAGTTTGCTTTCAATTCTAAGTTCAGTTTCTGATTTTCATTCCTCAGTACTTGGATAGTTTTATATATCAACTTCTATTTACAATTAAAATCTGCACTATTACCTCTTACCTAAGGAAATGGTCTCTGGTGATTGGAACCAAGTGTTATCAACCTACAGCAAAACACAACTGCTTTTTCTATTTCAAATTTCTGCTTGGAAGTGACACTGCATGAGCAGTCAAAGATCAGTCCATTGCAAGCAATGAACTCTGAAAAATCTTGCTGTCTTGTAAACCCAGTACTGAATTCCCCAGTCATTCTATTTAACAGAGCTGTGGCATAGTGAGCTACTTTGATTGAACATTTGTAACTGGAGGAGAAGAGAAAAATTCAGGGTTTATATCTGATGTGATCAAATCTGGTCCAATGAGGCAGAGTTCTCTCCCAGCCTCTCTCACAATTTTTAAATTCAATTTAGTTTCCCCTGTTTAAGTTCCTCATCATTGACTACATCCTCAGAGCAGCCTTGCATGCAGTGAAGGCTTACTGCAGGAATTCCATACAGTTGTGCCGCATTGAATGAACTGTCAGGATTCCTGATGTACAACAGTGTTTCTTTGCACAATGTTAATACAGGTATATATATGTATATATTTAAAACATTATGGAAAAA